GAACCATCGATTCGGCAGGGTTGTCCTAATCAAATCAACTCTCTAAACCTAAACAACGTACTCCGGAGCTCTGGTATATTATCGCCTTTTTTTTATCTCGTGTCGCTCGTGTGTTCTCGCGACGTCCAGTAATTCGTGCGATAGTAACTTGTTCAAACTGAATAAAAATCGGGACCATGATTATTTCAAGGAGGAACTTGGCCGGCCATCCGGCCATAAATATCGATCCTCTTGTCTTTATTCTGGCGCGTATCGTAAAGGTCAACCAGTTTTGTCTACTTGAGTTTCTTGAGTGCTCGGAGCATGAGAGGCTTGTTGAAAGTAGGAAGTGACGTAGAGGTTGCCGTACTCCATGCCCTCTAACTTCGTTCACCATGCGGTACTCGTACCAGTGTTGTGTGATATTGATGGTCATCTTGATGAATATGAGCGAGGTACTGCACTTTATAAAAATTATAAAGCCATCGTGAAATCGCTCTGCGGGCTTTTAACTCTCATATCACAATCTACGTGAATATCCTTTGATTCGACCTTGAATGTTAATTAAGCGTCGCGCAGACTTTTTCGCTCGTTCCTCAAGTCTTAAGTACAAATTAATTATTGTCTAAACGCACGTGGCTGGCACACGCCGATTGACGTGAAAATCTTTAAACGCGGCACATAACCCTGGTTGACGACTACATCGTCGATATTGCAGTGGCTAATCGCCTGTATTAGGTTACGCACGAAGGTGAACTTCATCCAGCCGACCACGGGAGTAACGGTCTTTAAGGATGCACTTGTCATCGGAGTCCTGGAACATTGTTCAACCTGTTGGTTCCGAAGCTTAGTTTAATAGAGGATGCAAGGCTTATCGGCACTTGTCGGAGCTACTCCTCGGCTGATCCTTCGAACCTTGTCGGTTTTCTCGTGTAGTACTTAGCCCCGTAAAACTCGCACTTTATTTCTGTCTGGCTCATCTCCTCGCTGCGCTTGCAACGACCTTATAGCTCCGGCCGAATCAAATTCCTCATCGCCCTCGATCTCGTGTCCGAGCAGCTTTATTAGTACTTTAGCCGATAGCAATTCATCACCGGCCGACTCGGTACGCCTTGTTCACACTTATGATAGCCTCGTAAAGTGACTGGGATCATCGGGTCAGAGTTTGACATTGTCGTGTTTTTCATCGACTTTTGATTGTCTCGAGCCACGACGTGGTGGATTAAACCACGCGATCTACGTCTCTGCTGTCGAAGTACGAGATCGTCAATGCGCGAACAGAGAGCGGCAATACGTTGAGTCGATCGATTAAACCGCCCGAGCAGCAATGAGCTGGTAATTGAACTTTTAAATCCACCGAGTGATCAGTTTTCGAGCATCGTTAATGCTGCAATTGGAATCGCTTAGGGCAATAAAGAAAAAATCGGTTATTGTTCACCGGAAGTACGTGCAATTTTGTATGGCGACGAGTTTGGTGGCAGATACGGCGGCAGATCGCGAGGTGCCAAGGGTGTTCGGGTCATGATTAATGTTCTCAATTGCAGAAACAAAAAGCGGCTAAACGCCAACGTTACTATTGGATTTCTCGAGCCACGGGTCGACTATTAAGAGGATGTAAAGTGGTAATCCGAGAAGGGAGCTGAAGGCTGCGTCGGCGCAACCGACGCCCGTCGGCCGGATAATGACAAATGTGAAACAACGTTGGGATTCTTTTCGGTTAATATTTTAATATTTTTTCTAGATAACGTCGATGACAGAGGATGTGTCTTTTAATAGGGACCTCCCTGAGAAGTGGCGCCGTCGACATCTCTGCCGACGGATCGAGGAGCACACGACGATGACTGGCGATCATGCGATGCCAGAAGCTGCCATTTAAATATGACCGTAGATTGCCGTCTTTTTACGCTTTCCTTTTTCCTCAACTACCTCGTTTAATCGTCGATAATACCATCGGAGGGAAATTTCAAGCGGAATAGGATCGATTTTAAACACTGGTATTAATTTTTATAACAAATTTTATTTCTTATTTTTGTGCAAATCTTTTTATATTCTTGTAACAATACTCGTTCGTTTGAATGAATATTTGTTTTCGTTTTGTTCGCACGGCAATAACGGTTGCGTACCTGTATGTAGTTTAAGGAGAAAAATAAAATATCTAATAAGTACATTAACATTGCTCACGGTTAACGCAATGTGGCGGAACCCCCGATTTTAACAAAATACGCCAACCGTTATATTCTCTGTTCTCGGCAAGCTGTGCCTTAAATGGGAACTCCGAGTTTCCTAGCTTCATCGGCGTACTTGGTCCTGTAGACGTTATTCTTGTCATATTTAGCCAAAACTTCATTCCAGACATCGGGCTTGTTCTTCGCCAGGTAGGAAATCACTTTTTGGGCGCCAGCCTTCTGCTTTTCACTGCATTTCGAGCAATTGGTCGCCAGTGCGTCGGGAAGTACACCTACCGATCGATCAAATATATGTATCAATGCCAAAACTATTAAGAAATCCTTAATCGAATGTAATTTTTCTAAGATTATTTAATATTATTGAAAATTGTCTAGTGATGTTAGTCATAATGATAGCAATGAATCAATCTGTATGTAAAGATCGATTCTGTTCATTAATGAATATTAAGATGAAAAATCTTTTATATAAATGTTGAAAGCAAATTACAAATAGCTTTCAGATATCTAAGGTTTTGTTCACATTATATTTAGCTCAATGTTAAAAATTTTTTTTCTACCGTACTAATGTAATGCGTGTACGTTTGAAATAAATTCAATTAATTAAATAGTGGAGTAATTGCGAGCCGTAATTAAAGTAAAGAATTACTTATGATAGTTTTCTATTTGAGTGAACTATTGCGCCTTCGCATAATATTATAAACAAAGTTAATTGTAACGAGGCCAACGGAGGATTATTAGCGATTTTTAAGAACGCTCATGGCAAGCCTTGAATTTTTAAAACGACAAACTATCAATTAATAATATTACAGGCAATAAATTAGACGCTGAAATTGTTTGTTTAAAATCGTAATTTTTCCTTCTTTCAATGTGAATCGATTATAGTTCAAGAAATGAATGTGCTAGATTTTAAGAAAACAAATGATAAAAACAAAAACAAAAAAAAAAACAAAAAACAAAAAAATAAAAACAAAAAACTGAATAAATAATACGATAGCTAGTAAAACTGTTCACTTAATTTGTTTCACGAGCGGAACTCCGAAGTTCTCATAAATATAATTTTCGGTTAAAAGCTTCCAACTTGTCGAGCATTTATGAAATAAGCGCCGAATGAACTTTAACGCGCAGTCAATGTATTCCGCGAGGGAAAAGCGCGCGCCCAGTGAGTGACTTACGCTTGAGCTCCCTGGCGTCAGGCGTGCAATTCGTATCCTTAAGTATGCAATTCATGTAGGGCGTGAGGAGCCGGTCGTTCTTCAATATCTGGTCAACATCGATATTATCGAATTTGGTCGTGTATTTTTCGGCCGCATGGACGACGACCAAGGCGGCGCACAGGCTGAGGGCGAGTGTTGTCTTCATGTTGAGGCGTCTCTTTCTTCTCCAAGTGCTAAAAGTGTGTATGCACACATGAGTCGATTGCCAAACGGTGGCGATATCGCAATAGTGAAAGGAGAGGCCACGAGGAAATTTCGTAGCGCGGCCTCGGGCCGGACCAACGTAGCGGGCAACGATTCGCTTGCTGTGATGCGAGGGTGAGGACGTTTGCGAGATGAAATGAGATTCGGATTGGAGCAGAAATGACAAAGAACATGACAAAATGTAACTGATACTTTTTCGAATACGATTCGAAAAGTAATGTTCTCAGCAAAAATCTGTATATAAGTAATATATATTCATGTGTGTGTGTGTGTGTGTGTGTGTATGTGTGAGAGAGAGAGAGAGAGAGGGAGAAAACGGGGTGAAAGAAGAGAGGATTTCTAATGAGCGTTTGTAAGCGTCATGAGAAAACACGGATTATGTTATGCTCACCTAGGTATTAGTCGTAAAATCAGGTGCGACTGCCACGACTGAGTCTACGACGTGTGTTTATATACTTTCTGACCATGACGTCTTATTACGCAAAAAAGCCCGGAGGCTCCTCAAAGGTGGGAGTCGCGTATCAACACGTTGACTCCACAGTCATTTGCGAAAGTTGCGCGATTATCACCTGCAGCTCAATCTTTTTTCTTCGTAATACATTTTTACTTTCTTGCGAGATTTTTAAGTTCGGTGTCAGCTTAGCCGCATGGAATCCGCAATTTTTCTCCCTTGATAGAGATAGCGCGCTTCGTGCGCAGCTCATTTGAATCGCAGTGCGATCTCGTAATTATTTAGTCGAGCTCTGAACCCATGAGAAATTTATGACATTTCTTTTTTTTTCAGACAGGCTGTTTATGTTTCTTGATTTTTATCAACGCAACGATGATAAGCATCATCGATTGGGTATTATATAGGCATATTCAATATATTAATTACCGAGATAGTCTTCGATTGATAATGGAGTCCGTCTTCGATTCCCAGTATTAGCATTGGTCTTTTCTTCAAATACTCGGTGCACGTGTCTAAAAATCTATCTCTGTATAGGTTGTTAATCACGTATGCAAGTTGTGTAGAATCAAGGTGCTATACGAAAGAACGACAATAAATAGAGGAAGGCGAGTATTTTATGCTCGAACCAATCCTTTTCGGCTAGAAAAAGAACGAAAAATATCTCATATCACGTTATGACAGTCGTTGAATTAGTATTCATTGTGTCTGTCTAACGATTTTTTCTCCAAATAAAACAATACTCGAATTGGTTGCCACACGATTTTATAATTTGGAACGCAGTATTTTTTAAAACATATATAAATTAAACTCTTGAAAAAACATTGAGGACAGAAATAATAGAATTTAAGAAAAAGAGACGGGTTTTTCTGCCCACTCTACAATGTAACAAACAAGTTGAATATTTTGCTTTTGCACGAACACAAATGTTAGACGGTTTAACAGACGCTCCACTTAGTTCGCATTTATACTGTAGCTAATTCTTAAAACTAACTCTTCTTATACCTATAAATGTATGTGTGGTAATACATACGATGATTTGCTTTGTAATACCCATTAAAATCCAAAGCTGGCTATTTATATATATATATATATATATATATATATATATATTTACTTTGGATAATACAAATTAAGGCTTTCATTAATTTAGTGGCTCGATGGCAATGAAATTACTTAGAGAAATTACGTAATAATTGCACAAACTTTTCGATATTTGACAATATAGACAATATATTTTGTGTTTATTAATTAATATAAATTAATTTAATTTATTAATATATTAATATATTAATATAAAACAATTATTATAATAATTATTCTTTTTCGTTATACCATTTTTCATTATACAAATTAAATGGCTAATATTTACGATTTAGATTTGTTAAAATTAATTAACGTATACGTGCAACTTTCAATGATTATAAATCCAGTCAGTTCAAGTCTCAAAAGAATTACCAGAATTTTCAAATGAGCTAATCAGATTCTCATACGAGCCTTGGAAATGCGTGGTTTTAGATGTGAATCATTGCAATTAACATTATCTACACGCTGGTTAAACTTCGTAAATACGTAAAATGAAAAAATACTTATTTCTTCACATTTGAATATAACGCATGACTAATTTATGATTAAGAAAACAAAAAAAACAAAAAAAATACTTGACAGTAATAAGAGCGAAGATTAAAAATTTATCTTATTCCCTTGTTATAATTAGTTTTGTCCTTTTGTACGACTATAATTGGAATTATTATCTGTTACAAAGTAACTATAATTTTTTATATAATTAATTTCTTAACTAAATTCTTTTGATAATATACATTATTTGTATAGATAATAAAATCATTTCAATTACAAAAGCAGATGTGAAATTTTTTATTTTAATGTATTTTAATTATTACCGTTTTCATAATTCATATTGTTATAAGGTATATAAATACTATTGTCTTTGATATTATTTATCAACACTTCAGATAAATGTGATGCAAGATAGTACAAACTATTTCTCAAATTAAAGCCACAAACAATTATATTTAAAAAACAAAAAAAAACATATAAATGTACATTTAAGAAATATGTATTGTAGAAATTTTGTTAAATTATTTTTATTTCATGATTGTTTATGCTAAGGAACGAAAATTATTTCCAATACTTAAAAGTTAATCCATAGAAATTATCTTACTAACCTTTTCGCGATGTTAATATTATTTTTTTTTTTTTTGAAGATTAAATCATCCGTAGACATGTATGAATCATCGTAAAAATAAAAAAAATTATTTATAAAAAATAATTAGCGTTACAAAGACCAAAACTACATGCGTATAATTGAATGTCTGAGTTTTCTTTCATGTTTTATTGACACATGAATCACACATACATATATATATATATATATATATATAATTATTTAGTAACTAATAAATAAATAAATTAGAAGTTTTCAAAACTCAAAAAGGCAAAGACTCTTCAATTTTTAGAAGCAGCTAACACTTTTGTTAAACGTAAGAATTATACAGAAGTATGTATATGTTTCTTAAAATGGATTTCATAACTGTCACGATCTACGCGTTATAAATAATATTGAGAAATTACAACATAAATTTATTCTATTTGTAATTCAAAAGTTGACTTAATATCTACAATAAATTTCCCATGTATAAGCGAATTAAATATATTTATTGACAAAATATTCAAGAATTTGCATTGATTTAATAATACCAAATTACTTGGACTGATTAATATAATATAAAAATAAAATTAAATCATATCGTCGTTATACTAAAGTTACAAATGTATCAAGATTTTAAGACAAAAAGAAAAATAGTTCATTTGCATATTGTTATTGCATGAACTTATCGTTTGACACGCTTCGGCTACATTGTAAACGTTTTATAATTAAAGTCAATTTTTTGACCTTAAGAATTTACGTTAATTAATTAATATATTTAGTTAGCAACTAATTTTTTTATTTTAAAAGCAATAACATTCTTCTGTTCTAAATGTTGTTTGTAATATGAACTTTTTTTTGTTATTTTTAATCACATTACATCACTGCATGAGTAATAAATATTTGTAGTAATTTTTTATGTTTAAATATAAAATAAAAATGCATTTGTTAAATTTAAAATAAATAACAATTTCAAAAGCAATTATATATTTTTGAAATTAGAGTTTCACTAAAAATTATTATTTGAAAATAATTTAAAATTAAATAGATCGATCGTACATAAATATTCAACAAATTTAATTCCAATTGACAAATTTTTATCCATTTTGTTCAATTCGTATTATTTTCCATGATATTGATATTTTATAAAATATAAATCAAACGTCACTTTAAATACAATATTGTAAAATCTTTTTTAACTACAAATGAAAATTGTTGTTGTAAAAGTAATTAATATTTACAAATACATATGAATATATATTATTAAATATTGATGAAATGAATAATAGCAATAACTCCAATATCAATAATTTATAATTAATAATGCATAAAGTAGCAATAATTTAAAAGCTTTTTTTTTACTATTGAAGTTTTATTCAAAATTACCTATACCTACTCTTTGCATACAAAGGTTTGTTCTTTGTAAAAGACATAATTCACAAATATTCTCCGGGTTGAATAAAGAATTTTTTCGTTCCATCTATATCATAAATATGATTCATATATTAGCATTAATGAAATCCAATCTCTAAATATAATACTGAATTAAAAAAAAATATTTCCTTAATTAGATTTTTAAAAACTTATTTCTTATTTAATTATATTTAATATTATACTGCATGAGAAATATAGTTACATTTTTAGTAATTGAATTATATACTTGTTTTTGAAGTATTAAACCATCTATTAAATAATTAATTTATTTAATCTAATCTATTTTTATTTACCAATATAATATTTTAGAAAAATATAAAAATTAAACGTTCATTTATGAAGAAGATATGCATATTAAAGCCTTTATACCTTCTATGATATATTAGTTTTGATTTAAATTTTTGTTTTAGTTCGTCTTCTCAAGGCAAATCGCATCACTTTTATTTATATAATAATTAAAGATTGGAACCGTATATTTGTCTCAACTTGTAAGGATAATTAAATTACACAGATGAAGATTGATTTGATATATATTTAGAATATAAAATAAAAGAGCAGTCAATGTATTTTAGTGAGCGAATGAGAAATTAAAAGAACTTTTGGTTAATATTTAGAATAAATGTAAAGTAACGAATAAAAATAGAATACTTAATTTGATAAAGCTTTTTAAAATTTAATTACTTAATAATATATCTTATATAAGAATATAAAAGGATAATAAATACCGAATTACTGAATATAATTTGTACACAAAAGATTAAAGTGAAATAAGATAATGCCGCTTTTAATTTCATAGGTAAAACATTAATTTCTATATTTATGTTATGTCACTTGCGTATTATCGACATCCATTGAATAAAATGCTTAATATTACAAACGTATTTTCATCATTCGCCAGTATGTACGTACATACATGCAGAAATGTGAAACAAAATTTAAATGAATTTTGTTCCTTCGTTTTATCTGTGATAATGGGCTTGTTCCATACTCGAATGTGATAAAAACAATATGCATGTTTTCTAATTGTTTGATATACTAAAAATAAAATGCATTTTAATTGAAATATTGATTACATATCTGTGTGACATATTGACATACATCATTGTGATGAAAACATTAAGTTTTTTAATTAATGGCGATTTTACTATTTTTGTTTTGCTAATTAATCATTCATTTTCAACGTTTCGACTATTACCGTCTAATATTCCAAATAGACAATTTCATTAAATTTAAGAACCTACATATGAGCATAATTAACACTACCTATGACGTAGTAAATGTGTATATTTAAATTGTGGTAATGACTTTTGTAATTTCGATTCAATAATCTTTTGAATAGCCATATCAATTTAACTTCTTAGTTAATAACTATTGGGTTGTATTAAATTTATGTTTTTCGCGAGGAGTATAATTTTTTTTTTTAAATAAATAAATAATTCGTGCTTAATTGATAATGTAAAATTGTTTCTAAACTTTTACATTCCAAAGTGTAGTGCATACATCTATTACAACTCGAATGTACTAGTAAATACTTTTTTATTGGCAATATTAATTCATAAAGTGTCAGTAGAGTAGAAAACAAAATTGCGCCATCAAATAGCTACGTAATTGATTGCATGATTAATCATAAAATTTTTAGTTTGTCCAGAAAAAAAAAAAAAAAAGAAAAAAAAGTTATAAAAAAAAGTTAAAAGAAAAAAAAATACTTTTGCTACGTATATATTAATAATGATAAATGTTTATATAAATTGGCACTGTTCTTTAAATAATTACAATATAATTTTTATTATTACAATATTTAACAGCAATAATTGACATTATAGCTTTAAAATGTAAAATAAAATCTTGAGTTTAATGGTGACAGTAGAAAATTCTTTTCAACTAAGAAATAGCTTTTGCACATTAAATGATGCTGTTGTTCATTGAAACAGACTTTTAGTATCAGATTAACTCAAAACATTGTATGAAACATATCTCCATTCGGGGCTCCCAAAGAATAAAACACGTTTCTTGTATGTATAATTTCGAAATAGGATGTAATTGCTTTGACGAAATTGCAGGAGGATCGAGGGCACGAAAATACTCTCTCTTACTTCGTTTCTCAGGCACAATGGACCTGGCTGTATCGCGATACGACCTCTAGAATTTTCTATATCTGTGACGATATTTTCGTCCTGTTACGCGTGACTAGGAACATTGGCATAAAAGTACTTACTCGAGCCGACGACTATCGTAAGTTAAAATACAGAGGAAAAAATGATGATTGGTAGAAGACGCGGTCGCGTACGCGACACCTCGAAGGACGTTTATACATGATCCCAGTGAACGTTCAACAGAAAAATTGTTAATCATATAATACTGAGAGTGACGGAGGAAGAGAAAAGACTGATCGAAGACGTGCGCCTATATTTTTACGTATCTGTAAGTAAGGGGGACGACATCAATCACCGTATGATTTACGGTTTATACCAATCCAATGTCAAAGCGATAGGTGATCTCGTATTTCTTTTCTTTTAATTTTCATAAATACATGTACGTTTGAAGCCCTGCGACGCGGAGTATTCACCTCCTCTCCACAACGTAATAATAAATTCGGAGAATCTATTTGTTTTGCTCCACATCGGCGATCCATTTGCCTCAACAATTTAAATGCAGCGCGAGTTCGTTGGGCTTTCCTTTTTACCCCAATCTCTCGCCCGCGTCCCTTACCACCTTCCTTTCCCTTCCTCATCGCTCACATTTGACTTCTCGTGGCTGCCCTTCTCCTTCGCTCTTCCTGACATCCCATTTTTTAGCAATAAACCCGTCATGAAAAACCCCGAAGATCCACGCCTCGACCTTGTAAGTCGTGCTCGCCCACTTGTAAGCTACTTTTTTTTTTTGTTTTAAATCCGTGTTAACACCAACAAAAAATAAACTTTTATATTTCTGCCTGATTGCGATTCGCAAATTCCTTTATGGATTTATAATAGCAGTCGCGTGATGGATTTGCCATCATTTTCTAACGCCTGATTACACCGAGAATGAGACGAATGGCCAACGTTCATTCCTTCCTTTTTCTCTATATCTCATTAACTAAATTATTACAATAAATTATTTAATTTTCAACATATAATTAGCTTTTTTATTTTTATCGTACCTAATTCCCTTTTAGCACGATGCAAGGTTAAATAATTACTAAATATTGAATAAAAAAATTTTTATCTAAAACATTCTGCAAGATTTATATTTTACGATAGCATAATCCAATTTTACCATATCTTTCATATTATAAAATTCTATGCTCGAATATTTTGCATTAAATGTATTAAATAATACACTTATGTAAAACATTTCAATTTGCATTAAAATATGACCGTGTCATAACATTAGGTCGCGTTTACATTTATTTAAATTAAACACCTAATGATTTTTAAAAAACCTTTTTCCTCTACAGAAGAATTTTTGTTAAAACTGGAAGTAATAAAAATAAAAATATTGTTTCTAAAATAATTTTTTATGAGTTAAGCATAAAATTATTGTGTAGAACTAAGGCTTTGGAATAACAGTGTTTTAACATTTTTATTTTAACTGTAAAAATTTATACATACTTTAAACATGTTTCAAAATAATTACAAAAATTAATAAAAAATAATTATGTTACGAATATTAATATATTGATTGTGGAAAATTACATTATAAATGAAATAACAATATTAATCTATTAACTTTTTTTATTTGTTAAATTACTTTTGATATTTTAACTGGAAACTATAGTGTCGTGTTAAAAACAACGAATGCATGTATGTAAAGGAAAACAAACATAAATTTTTTGTCATTATGTTAAGTAAAAAATGAAATACTTCTGTACTTTCAAAAACCTTGTAGTATATTAAATGAATTTGTATTTAACATTTTACGAATTTGAAAATATATTTAAAATTAGATGAATTTATGTTTAATGGAATACGAATTTTTTATAAATTATTTAAATGTCTGTTTAATTATAGTAGAATCACCATTTAAGATATTCAAATATTTATTGAACTTTAAATTTTGTTTTGACTAATTAAAGCTTTTATATGAATTTTGTCATACGATCTATTATTTAAATATTCACACTTAAACGTTATTTATTTACTTATTGATATATTAATCTTAAATATTCATAATTTATATTGACGTTAAGCAAATTTCAATCAGTCACAATATTTGCTTATTTTAATAGATATTAGAATACTATTTAATATTTAAATAGTAATTCCTATTTTAATTATAAATATTTGTCGCTGTAACAATTAATAATTTATGAATGAAAAAAAAACACTGACAATTGATTTTGCAAATGCTATTAAGAATTTTATTTAAACCTATTGCAAGTAATAGTTAAAATACAAATATTTAAATACTAGATAGTAAATAATTCTATAAAAAATCACTTAAGTATTTGTTTTCAAATTTGAATCACATAAAATAAGTAATCAGTATATATTTTCAAATAGTTCTACTTTACTTTTCTTAGGCCTTATTGAAATAAAATTATAATAATTAAATCATAAAAAATGTAGTATAAAAAAGATTTATATTTACAAAAAGGGTGTTTTTGAAATGTTTACAATAACATATTACTTTTATCAAAACATTTTTTTTAATATTTATACACTTACAATTAGTAAACGAAGACTTTCGTTTACATGTTCAAATTTATATACAACATTGTAGGGTAGAACAAGAAAATATTTAATGTCAACCATTTGGTAAGCATTTCTTCTTACATCATTCTTACACACTACATGAAATCCATAGTTTATAAAAAGTAGAAAACTTTCAATTTCAAATTAGAGACGAAATTATTAATGCCAGTAATTTCCTCCAAAATTAATGAACATAAAAGTAATATTTCAATTTAAATTCAATTTTAATAAGTGTAAAAAAAAGTAAACTGTATATCAACAATTAAGAATTATTAATAAGACTTAAATACAGACTTTTTGCTTTATCACACATTGCGTCGTTCTTGAAAGAATACTATCATTTACTTCATTTACATAATGACTTTCTTTTTCATTTATATACAGTTCGATTTTACAAAATCGATAAATATTTTGAGAAGAGGCAACAACGTGACTAATCAATAGTGTATTTTATTTTATTTTGAATATTTATCATTTACATCAAATCTACTATTCTGTCACGTTCTTTTAATTATTTAATATATATATATATATATATATATATATATATATATATATATATTAAATAATTGCAAGCGAATATGTTACAGTGAAAAATCACAAGAAACAATCTGGTTTAACTATTTATATCAATGACTGATCATATAAGATGATCAAATATATTCCTTGTGACTGTAGAAGTTATTTACAATAATTCCAATTTAAAAGAAATTTTTGTTCAACTCATAACGCTGATAAAAAGTATTGTATATAACCTTGGACTGTACCAAAAATGAAAAGTATTTATAAATTCTACATTTATACATACCTATTAACAAATCGACTGAACTTCTATACAATAACTATATATTCTTATCATCTAACAAGGTAGAGTATTTACAAAAAAAAAAAAAAATCAGATTAAAATTTGACAAATTATGAGTTGAAGACTGATTAAAATAATTAAACGTGAAAATTTGCATTTGATTTGAAAGAGCTTTAACGTTAATAACTTAAGCTGCAGTATGACTTAGCTTAAAATCTGAGTTGACTTAGAACAGGAGCTTCAACTATGAAAAATTATTTAATTAGCAGCTATCCAACCATTGGATACTAGATAATGAAGAATTTTGCTCTCTGGTTCTGATTGAGGAACTATACTTGATCTTCTATTACCATTCAAATATTCCTAAAAATATTATTGATAAAAACTCATTATATTGTTGCTTTGTAAAACAAAATGAAAAGGTAGACTATAAGTATCAGTACCTGCAATAAGAGCGCTTTTTGAGTAAGGTACTGTGTTGGCTTTAAGTCCAGCTGAAGACACAATAGTTTTTCTTGTTTGGTGAGAAGATGCGATGCAGCTTCGACTTCTATATCTCTTATTTCGTTTTCTCCTTGATTTCCTAATAATTTTCCTGGTGTCCATGAATTGTTGCCTCTCTCGAAAATAGAATTTGAATTGGTTGAATGTTGATTTGAAACATTTGAATTGCTATCCGACTCCCCCCAATGACTGATTGGAGTCATCGTCCGATTGGTGGCTAAGAAACTGCTGGTGGCTGAGTCTGTTTTTGCAGTGGATTTTCGGTCGATGAAAGAGTAACTTTTTTCTTCGTCTCTGTAAAGCGCATGAAAGCAATAATTAATGAAAACAATTATTTTAAGTACCAATACTTTTTAATGGTTTAAATCAACTGAGTTTACCATACAGACGAATTTCGCGACCAAACATTCAGCAATGATAATTTTTTCTAAGTAAATGTCCCATGCAAAAAATAGGTAATAACAAAAAAATTTAAGATTAAAGTTTCTTATTTGCAATAATGTGTTGTTTCATTTGCAAATGACAATAAACAAGAATTAGGACGACCAATGAAACTGAACAAAAAACTCACCTTCTTCTTGAGGCTTGGCGGTGTATTGTTTTGGATGATCCACTGCTGCCCTAAGTGAAATGCAAACTGATACAATCTGTTCACAAACGCCTGGCAACACGCACCACAAATAATAGAATTAGTTGATGATAAAGCGAAAGCAAATCTTTTTTTATGCGAAAAAATTTTTCCCGATCAATATTTGATTATATGACATCTTATATGTCATCAATGTTTTGATTGTTGCGTAAATTGCCAGCATGTAATGCTTAATTTATAAATGTTTTAAATGCGCATCAATTAAGATTTAATATGAATGGATATGCATCTTAAACTATAAAAGAAATTGGTGAATGTATTAAGAATAGTCAAGATATACTAGATACATGCAACCACCATTTCCAAGAAAATTCCAACTAATTAAAACCCAAGAAAATGATGATAAATCTACAGTTTTTAAGTTTATGAAGAAAATATTATAGATTTACAATGTAATATTGTGTAAAAAATGACTTACAGATTTTTTATCAGTCCAGTGATCTACAGCATCTGCTTGTCCCTGTGCTTGTGCCATAACTTGTTCAAAGTGTGTACATTCTTCATGCCTAGTAACTCCATTTTCTCGATAACGATACAATTCTGAAAGACGTAATCGCAGTTCTCTCTCTCTTTCCAAGCTTGCTAGAAATTGTTCGTACTCCTGGGCTGTATAAAATTGAGCAAACACTCTCATACGATCCCTGAAATCTCTAAAATTAAGTAATATTTTAATTTCCAAAAATTAAACAAAAATAGATAATTAGGTAATCAAGCAATTATTTTACTTTTAGTGTTTTACTATTATTAATATCAATAACAAATGTCATACATAATCATAATAATACTTGTACATTCTGTTTAGAAGTTAATAACATTATTATAAGTAATAATTTTGAGTGTAATTAAATTAATTTAATAAACCAAAAAATGAAATAATTTATATATAAGCTAGGAATTCTTAGTTAACATAATAATAAAAAAATAGCAATTACATTTTTGCAATAACTTATGTAGATCTATTTTTACTGACTTAATTCTTTTCTTTACAAAATTTCATGCAAAATATAGATTACTTTTTAAAAACAATGTAAAAATGTCAGTATTCAAATGTTTTATTATTTTTACATGAAATTGAAGAAAATAATTAGTTTAATTGTCGTTGTATATTATATGAATAAAATTATAAATAAAAATAAGTTGATATCCATACTTTTCTTCTTTGGTTTGTTTCTTTTTAACACCTTTTTCTTTTCGGGAAGACACAAAAAATGCTGAGACTAATTGATAATCTCGTACAACGCGTTTTCTTCTGGCTCGTTCTCTAAGATTATTTGTGTACATATCAACTTGTGCAAGTTTCAGTGCAATGTCAAGATCATCATCTTCCGCAGGATTTAAAAATAAAGAAGATACAAGAGATTCCGCTTCGTGATTGTAATCTCTTTCAAAATCATCTCTTTGTGGCATATAACCAAGTTGAGTGGCTTCATCTGCTGTTATGTCCAAAGGTGGTAAACGTGACGTTAAATCTGGTGATAGTGGACCATGATCAGAATGAGTTTGATCTGTAAGATTTGGTGTATAGATTTGCGTAGAAGGCCAAGTATATTTTCCAATGTTCCCATCCAAGTATCTGGCAATATATTCATCTTTCGCCTCTGCAAGAATAAAAATAATGATTTAGCCTATATCTTTCAATGGTAAATTACTTAAATAAAATTGATCATTACCTTCCGGTGTTCGGGTTTCGATATGCTTACTAATGTCCTCCCAATTACCATAACCAAACTGTTCAATAGCATCCAATAACCTAAGATGTTCTCTTGCAGTCCAATTACCTCTTCCACTGAATATACTGATTGTACCAGAATCCTTTATAATAATAAATATTAACAAACTTTTTTTTTTATCGACACAATAATAAATACTAAATATTATAAATAGCTTTTATTTTATTCACCATAAATTGATAAGAATGATCATTTTTATGTTGTCCTATTTCAGCTCCAGCAGAAAAGCACTAGTGAGAAGAAAGCAATTCAATTAATTATAATACTAAAATAATGCAGGCCATGAATTTTAAAATACATAATTATTAGAATAAAGGATGAAGAGATTCGGCTTTTTTAAATGCAGTGGTATAATGCTGGGTATGCCCCCCCCCCCACACATTTAGCCGACTGCTTACGTGCGTGAATATATGCGCGAATTGAGAGAGATAGAGACAAATAAATGGATAGAGAAGGGAAACAGACAGATACGGAAATAGAGATAGAGAGAGAGAGAGAGAGAGAGAGAGAGGGAGATATTGAGGGGGTGCGCGAGAGAGAAAGATATACAAGACGCAAATGGCAAGTGTCTCTCTCTTTTTAGCTTTACCTGCAGGCAAAGGTCGAAATCCGGGCATTCGACGCATTTGACGCGAAGACCCGTAATGTCCTCCTGGCAGTAGGTGCAATTGTACTTGGCGTACAGATCTGTAAGAAAAAATCAATGAGTAAAGTAATTGAACGATAACTAGCGGCTTAGGTGTCCAAGGAAACGCCAAGATTCCTCCTTCTCCTCCTGAACCCGTAAATACGTACCCGCCATCTTTGTCCTGCAGCGTTCTTCCAGAACGATCCGAATCTTGACGTCACCGCATTCCAAATGCCCCGCAACTAGCCCAATAATTACGGACGATAAGCCATTGCGAGCAATCCCATTTTCAATTGGGACTCGAGGAAAAGGCCTCGAACGTTTACTGACACCCCGCTACGTCTCTGCCGCCGCAGCCTCGCCTCTCGAGCCTTTTTCCAGCTCAGAATCGACGATTGAAAATATGTTTATGACTAGGTGCGTTTGGGAATTTGGGACCGCAGTGCGCATGCCCGTCGCTTGCCTGCTTCCATAAATGCCCGCGTTCAACGCCACGACTCGGCCTCTTATACTGCAGCATTGATACCAACATTCCCACGACCACTTTCCTCTTTCCTTACGCGCCACCTTCGAAATATTTCCGTTTAATTTTAAAACGTTCCTTACAATTCACGTTTAATTTGGAATTTTAGTTTTTAATAATAAGAGGCTTTAATGCTTCAATGCACTAATTCGTTAATTGTGTTTAAGCTTTATTGTCGGATATCGTTATAATTAATAAAGCGTTTTTTAAATGACGCAAGTTTCGGAAATTAAAGTTATTAGGACAATCCATAAAATCCAATATTTGAATTTATTCGTATTTTATTGTGTATTTACGGGCAGAAAAGCAATATCATGAAATTCATAATTACGTATTCATTTTAATCAAATGAACTTACAGTTATTTAAAGTGTCTTGTGTTCGATATTTACTTTGATTTACAACAATCTGTATTAAAATACTTTAAACTAAGACGAGGAAAATAAGTGTACTCTTGTGGACCGAAAATCCTTGGTAATAATGTCGGTAATTAAAAACTTTACCTAAGTTTTTATTCCACACTAATACTTTATACATAAATATTGTATTCCAATTCCGAAGAATGTGTTTATTATACAAAATAATTTTACTTTTTTGTATATAATAGTCCGAAGCAAGTTCCGATGTGTTGAAGAAAAGATCTTTTTCATCTCGCACCAAATTGCATAAATTTGAGAAATACAATAAAATTGATAAAAAATATCAAAAAAATAAAAATAAAAATACGCACCGATAACAAAATTTAAATAATAATAATTAATTGTAACTATTTACATTTATTTTAGAGAACAATAATATACAATTTTTATTAAATTAATTATATAATCCCAACATATAGAAAGTCATATGGAATTTATTAGAATTTATTAGAATATTTTTTATTAGAATCTGAATAAAAAATAACTTTTAGAGATCTATAAAATTTAGACAATTTTCATTATTTGAACAAAATAAATTTATTTGTTAAATTAACAACATAAGATTTCAAGATAAATAACCTCATTTTACAACATAATTGATCAAGCAAATTAAATTCTTATTAAAATGCACTATTAATCCCAAGGCATTTTATATTTTCTTATTGTAACTTGATTCTTAATATTTTTAAGTTATATTTTTATTTCAGCTGAGCAAATAACAATATTATCACAGAATAAAATATATTTACATTATATATAAATATATATATATATATATATATATATATATATATATATATATGTGTATATTTATTTATTTTATAATTATTTTTTGGTAGTGGTATCACTAAACTTATATTATTTTATTATTTTTATTATTATTTCCTGCAATATAAAATTTGTATCCTAGGAGCACTCATTCACTTATAGACATTTTTTGTAACACACTTATCAAAGCTTGATTTTTTTGTTACAGTTACTGTAATTATTTATAGAAAACAAAATTAATTAATTATTTACTGTTAATTTGTTCTAATTTTGTAGTTTTAAAGTTAACTTAAAATATATTTCTTTTAATTTACTTTGTTCAACTAATTGTCTTTTAATTAGGTATTTGAAGCTTTTAATCTTTTTTGCAACTGCAAATTCTTTTTATTTTTATTTAAATGCTCTTTCATTTTCAATTTTCTTTGTAGTATTAAATTTTTCAATGCATCTTTGAAACGTATTAATGTCTCAGCAATGGATCTATTCAAATATGAATCTATAATATCATCAAATACAGTATCTTTGTCAGAAACTATTTCATTTTTAAGCTCCATAAATAAGTCCAGAATTTCTTTTAATGTTTCTTTTGGATCTTTAAAGCTTTTATTATTTGTATTTTTAATTACATTTCCAATTTCTAGCAGATTTGTATCGGTTGTAGTATCAGTTTCATCTTCTAACCATGTACGTATTAAATCGGTATCTTCTGTTATTAGGTCACTTTCAAATTCTTTGAATTGATTTATAATATTCCTGATTATTTCTTTTATATAATAATTTTTTTGTTTCTGATTCATTTCATCGTCTGTAGAATCTGCATTTAACGAAGTATAAGTACTTTTTTGTGAAGTGGTCGCATCTTTTGGTACAGCTTTCTTTTCACGTTCTTTTTTCATTGATTCTACAGTAGAATTATTGCTTTTATCAACGACCAAATTATTTTCCTCTTCCTTTTTGATTTTATATAAATTTTTCTTTTCTTCCATTAGTTTCTTAACAGCATTTTTCATATTATTTTTATGATAATTATTAACGCTTGTTATTTGAAAGGCAGTTTTATGTTTACTAGTTTCAATTTCATTTTTTTCAAATTCTGTTATGATCTCAATATGTTCTGATTCTCTATTGAAATTTCTTTTTGATAATAAATTTGAATAGATTTGTTCATTATCCATGGCAAGTCTTTTTATTACATTTTTTATTTCGTTATGTTTACGATTGTTTTTAGACGTTAATTCTTCAAAATTAGCATTATGCTTTTCATCATTAATTTTATTCAATAAAGTATCGACTTTATTCTCAAAAAATATAGATTTTTTAGTAACAATTTTGTCATTTTTGTTTTCAATAATTTTGCTCATTGAATCTCTTTTATTATTGGATTTTTTATTCTCGTTAAGTGTCTTTAATCGATAGTCAATATTATTTTTATTTGTCTCAATTTTATTTAACATAACTTCCGAACTTTTACCAAAATTTTTAAATTGTTTTTTCTTATTTTTATTGGTTTGCAATGAATCTGGAACAATTGATTTAGAGTTGTCTCTTAAACTCTTAGTTTCTTTAAGAATTCCTTCTTTTGAAAATTCTGCTGATTCATTGTCTTTAATTAGTTGAGAATCCGAAGTTTTTTGTAAATTTGTAGAATATAATATTTCTAATAATTCTTTCATATCGACAGTATCCTTTATCATTTCAAGTGATTCTTCATTTTCTTTGGTAAAGACCAACATTTTATCAACTTCTACTTTTATACTTTTTGGATTTTTATCGTGATTTGTATTATGTTCTAAGCTCTTATAATCAAATGAATTATCTTTACTTTTAATTTGCAACGGATCGTATTGCATGTTTTGTTTTTTTTTTAGAATAAAAATTGTTGGTTTTGTTTTTATTTTTATAGATGGTAATATCGAATTATAATTAAGTTCAATGTTTGAGTAAGCATCCACAGAATCCAAAATATCAAAATTTTTTAAATAAGGTTTAATATTTGGTGAATATTTGCTTTTAGCTTCCATTAGCATATGCGTAAATTGCAATACTTCTGAATCGTGCACTGTTATATTTTCTTTTTTGGAATAACTAAAAATGATAAAATAACTTTTTAGTAAAAGAATAATATTTAATCTTCGTTTAATTTTATTCAAATATATACTAACATCCATGAAAAATTAGTCTGAGTAAATCTAGAGACTCCCGTTTGGGCTGTTAAAACATCAATGTGCACATGAACAGATTCGGTATGTGCACTCTCCAACCCATGCAATCTTGTTATTGCCAAGCCTCCAGGATAATTTAATCCAGCCAGACAGAGTAGGAATATAGAAAATACTGCATTTAATATTAAATGTCCCAGTGTAATTAAGGCAATTAAGGCATTCCATGACGATTTACTTCTATTCTCCCATCTTTGTTAAAGTAAAATTAAAGTGTAAAATTATGCAAAAGAAGCGAAGATGAAGTTTCCATGAAATATATAATATAGCAAATTTAAAAAAAAAAGGAGTTAAATGAAAAGTTTTTAAGATAAGACTTACATGCGATGACATGCTGCAGCTGCGCTAACATTCAACAATGGAAATACATACATGACGAATCTTAACTCTTTATGTGGTAAAAATGAGAAAAAGATAACATAAACTATTCCGGGTATAGTTAAGACTCTGGCTCGAGAGTCCCAAAAGATTCCTAATGGTATAAGGAAATATGAAAATGCCATGCCTCTTGGGAGTGCAGAATAAAAATACCATAAAAATGGTGATGTCTAATATTTATCTAAGAATTAATATTTTTATCAAGCTATCAGATTTAAGCAGATTAATTGGAAATAATCATCGAAAGGATACACCCCATTCGTTACTTTTATTGAGAATAGTATTAAAATAAAAAACTTCTCCTTCGGGCCATAAGGTTCTTCTCCAAAAATAAGAGTCAACAGTAACAGTTAAGACTAAGAGGAAAATACCAGTAGGTATTATAATTTTTAATGCTCTGACGTAAGAAAAATTTAATGTATTAAAAGTGTATGAATAAACATATTTTATTTGAATTACCTTGATATTGTTAATTTTGAATATGCTATATCGTAAAGTAAAAATAGACCTAATAGCATAGAAATTTCGGCTCTAAATATGATAATAGCTGCTCCCGATGAAATTATGAATAAAATATGATTCTTTTTAAGCCATCCGTACAGCGCAAGCAGCACTAAAATAAAAAAAATTATAATATTTAAAAATATATTAATTATTTTTATCTTATTGTATGTTTTACCCAATGGCATGGCCATAGTATTTGGTAATGGCCGACTTAAATAGTACATAAAGTGATACTGAGTTACGGTAATTATAAGGAACCATTTTACAAATTTTGTTCCAAAGATTGATTGGAGAGCATTTTTATATAATTTCCAAGCAGCTATTACAGTCAAGCCCAATATTGCTCTTACTGAAATAATAAAAAAAATTTTCTATAATATTATTTTACTTAAAATTTTTGATGAAGATAAAAATCTACCAATATATTGAGATAAAAATTTATTTAGTTTCCAGTATTTAATAACAGCAACAGTTGGCGCAGCAATACCCGATATTACCATTGGTCCGAGAAATGTTCTTGGCACAACACCAGGAAACTCATGATGATCATACTAAATTACAAAGCGTGTTAATAATTAATTTCTTACATTAATACTATAATGTACATATAATTCATTATTGAAATAGGTAGTATATTGGTAACAAATGAAGTATATTCAAATAATTATAACTATGCATTCTTTTAAATATAAATGTCAATATAAATAGCTCACACCTTAGGAATTCTTAGTTAACTTTGTTAATACATATCGAGATTTATAATTTTCAATTACATGTTTTATTACAGGTTCTGTATATAGACGTTAATAACCTCTAAGGTATAGTAAATATTTTGGATTAAGAGATAGAAATGCATCGATTCTTGAAGAAAACTATAATATTCGCTATATATTACATTAAGACACTTTACCTCGTTTAAATTAGAGCCGTGATACAAAAGGTCGTGTGTAGCTTGAAGATTGAAACTTTCTTCGACTTTTGTGAACGGACAGTAGAGTAAATGGATCGCTGCTATTAATATTATTATTTGGTCCATTTTAAAAACTACATTTGAATCAACGTCATATGGAATGGTGGGTGCCGATAAAAGAGACGTTTAAAGAAAAAAAGAACTTAAGAATTAATAAAACTCCCAAATCTAAACTACACGCGACGATGGTACGTCGTCGTCTGCTTCGAACCAACAGTTTAATATACCAAAGTCGGTCGGTAGATATAATTTGCCGACTGCTTCCCTCATTGTTACCAATATTGAGAAACATGGAATAGTAAAACGAAGTGAGTGTCACGTACGAGGCAAAATTACCTCCCTCCACCGTTTTACCATCGTACAATCGTAATTGTTTGCAGGTGTGAAAATAGATTCAATTCGCGGAAGTCATCTAATACTCGTTAGACAGAGCTTAGATAAGCGTAAGCTTGGATAGTTTAGAGCTGTTTAGGGATGAATTCATAAAAAACGATAACACGTGTCGTATGAATAAAATGATTGATATTTGTTGTATATTATCGATGGGTTATATATTATTAACTAAGTATAAATTTTGTAAATTTAATCTTGAAAGAGTGCATACCACACACGCACGCATACGAAAGCATAAACGCACGCAGTAAGAAGGAACATTCATTAAGAGTGAATAATAATTCTAAATTTATTTATTCGCAGGCGTATTAGAATGACGCATTATATAAGCCATAGGTGATAGATATATTTTTTTGTTATTTCGTTACAATCATACGCCTCGATTATCTTAGAAGCCTACCGTGGCATTCAAAATTCCACGGTTCGGTCGAGCGTCGAAGGGGGCGGGGAAATTTTAATTTAATACTTTTTTTTTGTTTTTTAAATTTTGATTAAAAACGACCTTGCGATAATAAAAATATTAGTTTATTGTAACCTTGAATTTTCAGTCAAGCCATTAGAATATTCGCTTATACATTCTATGTCACAATTTTAATTTGAACTACAAACTCTTGGTTATTTCATGCGTATGGGTATGTTGGCGGGGAGGGGGCAGGAGGGTATGCGCGCATTTTATCTAATTTGTTCTTGTTTTTATTATTATTTATTTAAATTTTGCTGTTTTTGCAGCTGTTATAGCTGTTCTTGGATATTTGTTGTAACCGTCGTCAATGTGTCGATGTGATTTTGTGTTATTATTCTTCATGACGATAATGGCGGTCAACCTCGTCTTCGATGGTTCACCATCGAGTCACGCTGTCTTTCGCTTTCTTTCGTTTTCGAGCAGCGTACGCACATACACACACATGCATAAATAAACGTCGGTCAGCCGTCCGGCCACCCCTCGGGGCCAATTGACCAGACCTTTTCAAGTGGGCGGGCGATCGGCAGGCGATGGAGTGTGTGTGCGCGCGCGCGCGTGTGTGGGATGGGAGAGGGATAAGGGAGTGGTGAATTGAGGTGAGGGGGGGGGGTGAGATGGGTCGACAAGGGATCGGTACGAGTGAGGCCGCGAAGGTCTTAATGTTTGGCCTTGAAGGTGTTGCGCAGGCCGGGTTTGTTACTCTGCATACTGTTGCACTTGGGTATGTGGCGGCTGGCCACCGTCTGGCTGAAGCGTCTCGAGCAGTGCGGGCACTTGACGTAGTCACTGTTGTCGCTCGGGGGCGAGATCGCAAGGTCACTAAGCTTGCCACCGCTCGCCAGGTGGACCTGCATCTGTTTTGCCGAGCGTATGGCGTTTATGAAATCCTCGTGCTTTCGCCGCCAGTTGGATTTCACGATATGCGGTTCGGGCTCAACGCGCGAGACCGACTTAATCTGAAATAACAAGGTTCGAATTATTATTAGCGAATCTTGTGGCTCTCGTTCGTTCATTGGATTGGCTGAACGAGGTGAGATGTTGGGATGGTGGGATGGCGGGATCGCGGGATGGTGGGGTAGTGGGGTAGTGGGGTAGTGGGGTAGTGGGGTGGTGGAGTGGTGGAGTGGTGGAGTAGTGGAGTAGTAGAGTAGGAAAAGGCGTGGGAGAGAGAAAGGGAGCGGGAAGAGACGTAGATAGTACTTTCTCAAAACAGTCAGCTTTGTCGTGACGTTGTAAAGCTATGAGGTGAATCGAATGGACAATTGCAGGCTCTAGTTTCGACTAATTTTTGTTTACTTTTATGAAATATAAGCAAAAGATAGAAATAAATATAAACGAATAACCAAGTAATTAGGTAGAATTTTGTTGGATTTAAAATGATTATTTATCTAGATTTAATATAAGTGACTAAGTGGAAGCTGAATACGACCGATTATTTTATGTAATAATTATAATCAGCGGTCGTCTGTGTTAATCTGCGTAGAACTTGCAGGAAAATGATCTTGGCACGATTTTCGCCGCGTTAAGTAAAGATATTATTTTAAATAGTTGCTGGAAATGTTAATGAATTCTCTTTGGTTTAATTTTCGAGGTCAATCCTTGCAACTTTTATCTTATTTGTCATAATTTCTTTCTCCCTATGAAATGCTCGTGAACAATATAATTGCTGATCTTATGATAATAAATTGCTAATTAACACGCTGACAATTTTTGGTCGAGAAATCTTTTTATACTTTCTCCAAGTATAATCTACGATTTTCCCCTTTTTAACATTTTCAATTTTTTTCTCTTTATTATTTATTTATTTATTTATTTATTTTTTTCATTCTTTCTTTCTTTCTTTCTTTCTTGCTTGCTTGTTTAATGATAATAGTTTTACGTTCATTAAATTTGCAAAATTCATTATTGAGAAAGTTACATTGTAGTCAATTAATCGAAAGTTTTACTGCTTTCCACGGCTATCCTCAAAGCTACGACCTCTACACATGCTATTTAATAATTAAGATTATGTTTAATATTGAAAAAAAGTGGAGAAAAAAAAAAAAAAAAAAAAAAAAAAAACAAAACAAAAAAAAAAAAAACAAAAACAAAAAAAAACGAAAAAAAAATATATATAATTGTAAAAACAAGAAACAAGGGAACGACGATTTCAATTTGTTTATAGAGACCTTCAACGAAGCTGGTATACGATTAATTGTCTTATATAGTCAAAGCAAGTCCCGCTGATTTTGCAGAGAGCTCGTGTGACATTACAGATAAGTAGGCGCTCGCTAAAACAACATTTAACAAGTCTGGCAGAAACGTAATGTTCCCGATTACGAGAGAGGCTCGATCCCGCTTTCAATGAGTACGAGTACCTGCTTTTTGCCCAACGGCTTTTTCAGGAACGATTCGAACTCTGTCCCCTTCACGCGCTGCTTCACCGTATCGAACTGCTTTCGCTTCTTCTGCACGGTTTTTGAACAGATATCCTGGTGGAAGTTTATGCGTTCCATGGAGAAGCGTCGATTGCAAACATTGCACCTGACCAACGAGTCGCTGAAAGCAATTTGATCATAGAATCCATTTCATTAAATCATTCAATTCCATTTGCAGGGATGCACCCTTTTTACCTTCCCCCCTCCCCCCGCTCTCTCTCTCTCTCTCTCTCTCTCTCTCTCTCTCTTAGCATTTCTGTCGTTCCAATGTAATAATAATGCAGACTGTTTCGCGATCGATGAGCGTGAAGGCACACACGCGATTTCTCCTTCTCTTTCACTTTTTATCAATTTTTCATTATGTTCTTTTGATTTACAACTGTTTTATTAATTTTACGAGGGAGTAATAACAGACACACGATATTGAGTGACGCAGATACACACGATATTGAGTGACTTTATCATTTATGTCTTGCGTTTATGATTTTGTTTATGATACGCACAATGTGCGTGCGAGATGCGATCCGATGTTTTATGATATTCATGGAAGGATCTTGGCCGATGCCTTGTACACGCCCCTCCTTTTATATTATTCATACAAAATCAATTTAAGCACCGGATTGAGAATCGAGTTCTCGTTCTCGGCCTCGTCCTCGTAAGAGCCTTACGAATGAAATAACGATCACTGACTGAACGTTCATTAAAAAGACAAGACGACAGGTGTTGCGCACCAATGATAATCGCGCGTGGCTACGGATCCAAAGTGTAACGAATATATGCCGTTGCGTGCTTTTAGATATACTCGACGATAACGTATAATCGTTATAATAGCGATTATAAAGGTGCATGCGTTAACCATCTGAAAAAGATAAAAAGAAAAAAAATATCGCGATCTATAATGTAATGCGTAGCGTGCAAAAATGAAAAAAGTCGTCTCGGGGGAATATGGTAAATGGCAAAATAGGTGCGCGCGTGACATTGTGTGACGAGCACGATATATCGACATTAAGATAGTAAATTAATAAAGCGCTCAATACTCGGTGTTGGTAATGTTTTTGAGGGTGTTCGATTTCTGGACGGGCGTCGGGATGGTGAGGTTAGACTTGGCCTTGAGGTTGAGGTTGCAGGCGTTGGTTGGAATTTGGCCTCTACTCGATCCCATACTCGCGTTGGTTGCTAACGGTTTCGTTGGCTGCTTCGCCGCTTGTGGTGTCGACGCCGCTCCTTTCTGCGCAGAGGATATTTTTTTCAAATTTTTGAGCACCATTTCCACACTTTTAAATTTATTGCAAACATTGAATTTTTCTCAAAATAAGTTCTATTTAATATAACATATATTGCGTGAAGTGTTTGGCGCTCCGATCACGCAGCATCTCGTTTGTTTTGCGTCGTGGCGAAATGAATGACCATCGTGGCTCGCTCACCTCGTCTTTCGGCTGCACGTATAAGGCGTCGATGGACGGGGCGCTGGTCTCGCGGAATCCCAATTCGCAATCCCCGGCGGTCGACGCTTCCCCGGCTACAATCTGATTCAGGAACTTCAAGCTGATCGACTTTACGGGCGGACGGGATCGTTGCTGTCGATGACACACAACGTTCTATTTAGTCACGAACGATTAGAATGTAATAGCTCATGAGCGTACCTCGTATGTGTTCTCGGGGCTCCTCAATGATGGATATGGAATCGGTTCCTTCTCGCGGTTCGCTCTCGACTCCGCGATTTTGCCGCTTGTATCTGCCCTTTTCGTGATGGAATCGGAGCTAAAATGCTTGGCCACACTAAAGGGAAATGCGTCAATTTTAGGAACCCGTTCATTCGTAAGTATACTTTTCAAACGAATCGCACAATTATCGAATCGTACGCTCTGGCTTTTTACTAACGATCCCTCATCATCGTCGACTTCCGGCGTCTTTACCTCCGAATCGTAAGCGATTTCCATCCTGAAAATCGGCGATTTCGTTTTCAATGCTCTTTGCGGCGAGTCGATGGAATCGCGCGCCTCTAGTAATTTTACGCTTGTTTTCCGTCTCATTGCGGCTGGAACGTTTTTTCTTGCCAAAGCTACCTTGGTATCCGTGGCCGCTGCTTTTGAAGCTTTTCTCGAGTACTTCTGAAACCTTTTTGAAACCCTTTCATTACAGTCTTTCATAAGCGAAGACCTCGTGTGCCCCGCGGATCCCTTCAATTGGCTGTCCTTGTCGAGTGAGTCCTTAGCGTCAAGTTGAAGACCCTCTGGCTTGGCGACGCTCGTCGCCTCGATCGGATGGTCGCGCGAGCTCTCTGTCGTACTAATCGAATCGAAATGCTGAAGCGCCGACTCGACGGAGTCCCGCCTCGGGATTAATGGCTCCCGGCCCGCGGGTCCTTCGAATATCATGCGCTTGAGCTCAAAGGAGAGCCGTCGAGGGCGATTAATGCAGCTGTCGGATGATCCTCGACGGCGGTCAACCTCCCTTTGGCCGAGCTTGATCGTCTCGTCAGCGATCGTGAATTTCTGGTGATCCGTCGGATATTCTATTGATGGCCCCTTTGGACGGTCAATCGACAACGTTTTTCTGCCGTCTTTCTCATTCATTACCTCATTGTTTAATGCGTGTCCGTCAAAATTTTTACTCGGGGATGCTATTACTGCTTTTAGTGCGCTTATTTTGCAGTCGTCGGGATCGATGATTGAATAACGCTTCGTAGATAACGATAAGATAAATTTATCTGTTTTATTTTCATTTTTCGGCTCGACTGAAATTGCTGCAATTGCTTTCGGCAATTCAGCATTGTTTGCAATTTTCGATAAATTATTTTTGCTTACATTGCTCGTTGTTATATTTTCTATTTTTGTAATGATTGTTTTTACTTTTCCTAGATTATTGCTATCATTTGGTCGTGAAATTTTCTTGTTACGAATTACTTGGCAAACCAATGGTGTCGATTTTAAGTCGTTCAAACTTATTGACTGATGGCTCTGTTTTTTTAACTTTTTCATACCTTTATTCGAAGTATGAAGACGACTCTTTCTATCTTCTACACTTTTCATATTTCGTGATAGCTTTTTCATTTTAAGACTGGCACTTTTCGTCGTTTTCATGTACGTTGATTGCCTGGTAAAATTATAGTCCAAGTACCAATAAGCCATTTGTCAAGTGTTAATCACTTAATGGTATGAGAGAACTGTTGGCATACATACATACATGCGTACGCACACGTGTGTATGTACGTACGAACGTGTGCGCGCATATATGAGTATATAAGCATACACATTTTTAATAGCATTTATACGATTTATTTTGTATTTCAATGATTATTATTTTATTTGTTTTATTATTTTAGTTACTAGTTAGAGGGCACATAGATATATCAGGGCGTATATCGAATCTATTATCGTAATTCTATATAGTTAGCCTAATAATAGCGCCGATGACGTTCAATTTATTCGATATCCATTACGTCAATTTAGTAAACAGTTTTTAAGCCATTGTTTCCTAAGAAATAACGTTATAACGTTAATCACTATGTTTATGCTGTAATTTGTATATACATAAAGAGCTAAGTAGCACCGAGTACATATGAAATTTATTACGATGAATGATAATCCTTGCTAGTAGAAAACCAGAGTTTTTAATGCGTTTTCATATTAATGTACAGATTGTTAAATTAGACATTGTTTTCGGATTAGAGACTGAAATTGGCAATTCCTGTATTATTATTGATAAAAAATCCTATAAGATAAAATAGTTATCGGATCGAAAAAAAGAATGCATATTCACGTTTTTGTAATTTGTATTGTTGAACGATATTCTTGTCTTTCTATTGTTTCGCCGAAAATAACTATGCTTAGCTTGAATATATATCCCTTGGGTATGTGGCTCTATGGTTTTCTGTATAAATCATTTGGGTGTCTACTCACAAACGCTGCTTTTGCATTTTAATAAATTAAAATTATTTCAAAGGCATCTGATAGAATCAATTCAATTTAAAATAAATTGAAAATAAGTATAAAGGCATAAAATGAAAAAAAAATAATAATCACTTGATTTTTTAAAATAAAACATTGTTATTTAGTGTCAATATAGTATAAAGTCAAAATACATTTTGACTAGACCAAGGTAAAGTGTGTAG